GTTTATTTCATGTAAAATGTTGACCTCCTGTAAAATGTTGATTTCATGTAAAATGTTGATCTCCTGTAAAATGTTGATTTCATGTAAAATGTTGACCTCGTGTAAAATGTTGATTTCATGTAAAATGTTGACCTCCTGTTAAATGTTGATTTCATGTAAAATGTTGATCTCTTGCAAAATGTTTATTTCATGTAAAATGTTGATCTATTGTAAAATTTTTATTTCAGGTAAAATGTTGATCGGATGTGTTGTTGATAATACTCGTTATTAAATTAATTGTATGGCCTGTATTTTCCTAATTTTGTTGAAAAAAGTTCAATTTACTTCATTTGTGTATTTTTTCAGAAACTCTGAGGCTGTTTCATTTAATCAAATTGTTTAGTGCACAAAAGAGCTAAATTGACTTAAAGACATACGTATATATATAAGATATATAATATATATAAGTTATAGGTATAATAAGACATAGGCTATAGCAAGGATACAAGGTTGGTAAATTATAAGCAATAGGCGTGGTATAGTCGTGAGGAATGAGTTATAGGAATGAGTCATAGGAATGAGTTATAGGAATGAGTCATAGGAATGAGTTATAGGAATGATATACGCGATAATCTAGTCATAGATATACAAACTTGGCTATACCAACGTGCCGGAGACTCTAATTTGTACGCTCATATTTTATATGTCTTCGTATATACATACATACTCTAGTTAAAATTAAATAATCATACTCTAGTTAAAATAATTAATCTATTATACAACACTTAGTAATACTTAAATACGTTGCTCTTTCGTAGGTTGCATTTTATCTATGTTATGTACATAATGTTCATTGCATTTGAACAGAATACCGCGTAGGTACAATAAATTCTTCTATAAAACATTACGTTTTCAATTCATTATAAATGCGAATTTTCATTTATGTTGCCTCACTGCCTCTACTCCGCAGGAATTTAATATGAAAACATAATTTGTAAATTCTACAATTTTATCTTTCATTTTAAATATAAAATATTGAAGTAATATACTGCAGGTAATAATATTATAAATATCAAGTTACAAAAGACGAGTTTTTAATCGCGTTAAAATAATTAAGACAGTGATAGTTCATTTTTTGCGCACTAATAACCTAAGTCATCATTCATATAAAAATGAAATTGTATCAGCAATCGTATATTAAACAATAAATTGTGAACAGAAATCTTAAATTTGAATTGTCGTATCCTGTGCAGTTCAAGCTCAATTTGCCTTCATTTATCACTTAACATCCTGAAATTCGTATTTTAGGAATAAATGATTGATATTTTATTTTAATTTATTTTTCCATTCATATTTTTATGTGTTTAAAGTTTCACATAAGAGTTAGTTTAATTTTTGTGTCAGGAAGCACGTGTAACATACGTACATGTGCGGAGGCAAAAATGAGATTGTTAAATACTGGTTCTTACATCCGTGGACTTAGGATGAGCGACTGGAAAGAAAATAGTATTGGAGGATAACTAAGGAAATTATGGAGTAGTTATGTTGAGTTTGTGTATCAAATGCAGAGTAAGTTTCATCACTTTCATGCAACGGTTAAATATTTGTTATAGGTTTTGATTGTGGATAAAAAAATTTTGATTGCGATATAATATCAAATTGGCTTCTCAAAATAGAATAAATTGGAAAATAGACTAATGCATTGAAAATTGAAAAGTGTCATAATTCTTTTGCAGGCCTTGAATTCAATGATTGAATTGTGATTGTCACAATTATGTGATAATGCAGATGAATATCTCTGTACGTGACTTCTCTTTATTTATATTCATTTCAATTTTCTTGTCATAAAAATCGTTTGTACACGAAGGAATGTCTGTAGAGATGCGTTTGTACAAATAAACTTGTATATATTTGAGCTTTGATTTACCAATTTTGAATGTTATAACACCAATTCGATCACAATGTGTAGATAGCACTATTTTTGGTTAAAATAAACTTGGTCTGTGCACGAAATTATTATTAAACTATTAAAAAATGATCATTTTCCAGAAGAGATAATTATCAAACTACCTAAAAATTAAAATTGTAATGATTAGTTTTGAAATATAAAGTGAAAGCGTTTTCAATAAAATTTACATTTCATTTTTGTGTAGATAGCTTGACCAGAAATGATTTCCGTTTAATTTTCCGTCACGGTAGAATAAGAACAACAGCTGATGCTACTTGCGTCCGTATTTACGCTCCGCCTCCATTCGTTCATGGTGCCTCTGTTAAGACAGGCTGCGGACGTAAGGTCTCACGTCTCAGGAATAAAGAAAAGATGCCGGATGAAAATACGTGAAACAAAGTATTGAAATCATATAATAATCTACTACTGCATGCTAAAAAAGCAAAATACTTTATTTGTCTTTGTTATCATTGTCCCATATTTATTATCTGGGTTTAATCATAATCATTCACTCAAGAGTCAAGTCAAAGTCTCAGCAGTCAGCATTATAATTTATTGCAATAATACAGCCACTTATTTGGTTTGAACGTGACACTTTACTTACGTGGTACTTGCTAGATTTGCCACTGTTATTCAAGTTGCATAATGTAGCCATTCAAATTTCAAAGAAATTTAGGCTAATAACTGTTTTATGGTTGAATATTTAGGTTAGTTATGTCAACTGCTGCAACTGTGTTGTGGCAGTTTACTGGCAAACAGGCAATTGGGCAAAGCTGCAACTTTTGTAGACTTTACCTCCAGGACCAGTTGAAGTGACAGTCCAGTTCAGTCAGTCCAGATATACCACTGTGCAGAGAGTGAACGAAGATTTAAAGACCTACGGCGACGCATTATTGGCAAAATTTTTGCCTTCAAAAGATCTTGCCGACACATTTAGATTGAAATTCTTGCATTTAATATATTTCTCAGTCTTCAGCCAACTATTTAGAAAAAAAGTAAGGTTTCCGGTACGTTGGATGGATTACGATGCAGCAAAGCTTGTCCTAAAATCAGTTGCGATGAGTTCCCGCAAAAAATGTAAACAACATCTAAGTAGATCAGGAAAGTATCATGGATGCGCAGGATGGAATTCTAAAAATGTTGGTAGATATATTATTTTCAATCTACCTTTGCCACTTTTTTGGTCCAAAATTTTAGTTAGGATAGAAAAGTTAAAAATAGTTGCACTTGCCACTTGATAGAATCAAAAATGAATGTTATAACACTTTAGGATTTTAATTAGACTAAATAATAGTTCATTAGGAATTTGTCTCTAAGTCAAACACTGCAAATTAACATTCACAAATTAATAGCAAATCACACCAGGGTTGCCACCAATAAGGGTTTAATGCACACTGTGACTGTGGAAGCGATTTTAGGGAGCAAACTCACATTGCCGCTCATGTAATGAAAGCATGCACTGATGCACGCAACTGAGTAATATCTGGATTCTAGTGCCAACGCATCAGAGCATTTCAATACTTACTTGTCAACTATCTTGTATTAAAGAGAGAACTTGTAAATGTAATCACAAATATTGATTGTTTTATTATAAACTAAGTGAGCAGAATCAATTTATAAGCATCATCTGCCAGTGGCTGCAATTCATGTTCAGCATGGAGGCACACGGAAGAATGAGGAGGCTTGGCGAGAGGCAAGTTAGACCGATAGCTCCTGCCACGGTGTTCAGAAACCCGGATGTAGAAGTTACGCGACGTCATTCCAACGTACGTAGATGCACAGTGTGCACATGCAAATTTATATTTTGGAACTGTTTCAAACACAGCATCTTTAATTCCTTGGACATAGTTTCAGATGCACTACCAAAATAGGGCAATGTGCAATAAATAATTTTCTTACTATTGCATTCCCATATATAAATTTGCATGTTTTACTGGTAAATAATTTCAAAATTGGTTCTTTCTTCAGGTATAAGGACGTTATTCCTGCTCGGATGCGATCAAACCTGGTCTATGAGTTCTGTTGTGCACGCTGTGCATCTACGAACGTTGGAATGACGTCGCGTAACTTCTACATCCGGGTTTCTGAACACCGTGGCAGGAGCTATCGTTCTAACTTGCCTCTCGCCAAGCCTCCTCATTCTTCCGTGCGCCTCCATGCTGAACAGTGCGACGTGACTGTATCTGAGAGTGATTTCAGGATACTCAGTTCCACTTCTGGCTGCTTGGATTTGAGAATTTTGGAGTCTCTACATATCTTCAAACAAAAACCATGTCTCAATAATGCGTTTAGCTCATATAATCTGGAAATAGTAAATCGCTAGGATTTTATTTTCTTGTCGTACCCCTAGGACTAAGTTGTTCTTAACTAGTCCTGTTTATTTTGCTTGCAGTGGACAAGGTTGTTGTAAATGCTCAATGGCATGTTCATGGATACGGTAATATCGCATCAATAATATGATAATTGCACATCAATAATATGGTAATTAATGTAAATGGCAATATCGCATCAATAATATGATAATTGCACATCAATAATACTGTACGGTAATTAATCTATATGGCAATATCATATCGATAAAGGAAAAACAAGTGAAAATCACAGAAAATGTCATTTATTCTACCTCTACATCATCTACAATGAAAGAGGAGGACTTCAGAGTACTGTTAGTAATGGATGAGTAAGCTCTGCATGCTTCAAATGTTTTGAAATGAAGTTTTATTCCCATTGTCCCAAGTAGCCCCGATCGACGGGGCTACTCGGGACAATCTTTATTTTGCGTCTGGCACCTTAGGAATAGCATATGGAATTTTTTTGACAATGCCATTCAATAGCCCTTGCAAAGAGCTATAAAATGAGCCTAAATTTGTTTATGAAATGTTTCATCGTAAGAAGTTATTAACAGTTGTTAACAAAAAAACGATTATCTGTCCCAAGTAGCCCCGGTTGACGGTAATTAATTTAACAACAAATCCTGTATGATACTGATGACATTTTGGGCACAAAAACTGATCTTGGTTTAACTGTTATTATTGTTGGTATATCAAAATTTCTTCGTGGTTTTCCAGACGTTCTGTATAAAAAAATGTATGAGCCCAGAGCATATAATTGATGGTATGTAATGGAGGACCTCGTAGCAGTGGTGCAGCAAGAGCTGCGCATCCCAAAGGATTTCATCATCTACAAAGAAGTTGAGCAATGTGTTGAAATTCTTGTTCATCAGGACTGGATTAGGTGAGAAGATTTATAATTTTTTAGAAAATTGCTAGTCTCCTCTGCATCAACATAACATGTGTTAAAGAGACTAATTTTTTGTGGTAAGCAAATCTTACACAAGATTTTGTTCTGCCTCTATTAGTACCCTAATTCATTATAAATCAATATTTATAAAATGTAAATGAATTATTCTAATGCTCATTTTGTTGTTTGTCAGTAGTAAGTCAAAAATAGTATTTTCCTTGCCTCCATACAAATCATATTAAAATTTATACTAGAAACTTTTCTAGTCTGCTTCCATTTGGTCTTTTCATATGATTTTCACTGGAACAATAAGTTTCAGTTTTAGTTTGGCCTAAATGTAATTTATATCAAATTGAAACCAAAATGGAAGCACTGACACTGAGAATAATTTTCCTGAATTAAATAAATTAAAATGAAAATGCTAGTTTGTTTTTGGTTTGGTGTAATTTCTTGCACAATAGCCTTGCTTAATTCTTTGGGTTGCATACCTACATCTTTGTTTTAGTCTCTTATACTGTAATCTTATTTATTTTTTTTACATATTCTTAATTTTTTGCATATTTTTAATTTTTACATACCTGTTAAAATTTGGAATGGAATCTTCAGGACATTAATAAAGAGCCGCTGCATTCCTCTGAGTTTGCCACACCCGTCCTTGTCAGGAGCTGAGGTGCAAGCTTCTCTACTGCAGGGGTTGCCTGCTGACAACTCCTGGAATAAACTCCTGGTTCAGGTCTAAATTAATTACATTTATTTATAGTTAGTAAAATAATGTCTTTGATAACATTTTGTTATTGCTAAAAATAATGTCTTTGATAACATTTCCTTATTGCTAAAAATAATGTCTTTGATAACATTTCCTTATTGCTAAAAATAATTTGCCAATTCAATGTGAGAATTTCTGAATTTTATTTTGAGATGGATGGATGGATGGCAATCTGCAGTGCAAGTGGAAAGTAATGATGCTGGAATTATTTTCCAGGCATTCCCCAAGTCGTCCAACACTGCAGGTTCAATAGCTGAACATTTTTACTGCCATCACATGAACTCGGGCACCAAACCTGTTGCCTTGAGCACCCATGGCAAGCCCACCAAAACTGGAGGACAAGCAACTCCTTTGTACTCACGAGGACAAAGTCTTGTGTACAATGCAACAGGAAATTCTCAGTCCAGAGCATTGGTGCCCAGCATTGAATACTCAAAAGATGTTTTTACATTCTCAACTCTTCTCAACTCTGTTGCTAAAACTAATGCTGAGAACCTCAAAGTTGATGCTACCAAAAAGTACCAAAGTGAGTGTACATTTCTGTTACTAAAATATGTTTTGTTTTATAGAGTTTTTGCTTATTTGTAAGTAATTTCTAGTTGCTCATAGGTTTAAATGACTACTATTATCAAGAATTTCATTATATATCTTTTCTTTTCTATATCATGCATTGTAGTCATTGGTAAAATTTTTCCTATTGTTTTGGCTTATGAGATTATTTCATTTCACTGATAATATCTGTGAAAAATAATATTTTACTCATAACCAATACATTTAGTACTTTTATGATGTAAAATAATTGGTTCAGCTGTGAATGTTGTTTAGTAGCAGGAATGGTGAAGTAAATTTGAAATCGCCAAATTTGTCATTGTAAAGCATTTTTTAAAAAAGATTTCTTCAAAGATTGATTTGCAATTATAAATTCAATGAATTATTATGTATTGAAGAAATAATTATAACAAATTAATTTATTTTAGATGGTTGCTTCTCAAGACCATGCAAGTCTTTACCAACATCCCCTCTGAGCTGCACTGACGCTCTGAGGGTTGCCCTCACTGCCCTCTACAGCGCCCCTCTTGTGGACCTCACTGGGTGAGGGGAATTGTCTTCACATACATAGACTGCAATTCAGATTAATTCATTTATCTTCTTTAAAGTCAATGGATATTGTTATATTATAAATTAATTGATACCATATATGGGTGTTATTCAAATTTTTAAACCAGTATTCAGATTGATGAATTTTTTTTAATGTTTTTTTTGAAGTCCAAGGATATTATAAGAGTTTTTCCAACACTTAAAAAAACTAACATTGAATTAAAAAGTTCAAATTGGTTTTTAATCAGTAAATAAGTACATGCAAGCATATAACTAGCTGTTAGCATCTGGTAATTTATTAGTTAAATTACATTAATATTGCATGAATAACGCTGTGCAGAGTTGGTGAAGGATTTACAGTGCAGAGATGCGGTGCAGAGGAGGCGGGCACAGCACACTGCATACTTGAGTGTGCTGCACACTTCCTGGTGCTGCTGCCGTCTGTGCAGCACACCTTGCAGCACGCGGTCACCTTCAGGTGACGTCACTATCAGAGTTGTATTGAAGTCACTATCAGAGTTGTATTGAAGTCACTATCAGAGTTGTATAAAAATGCATGCAGTTTATGTCACTATCAGAGTTGTATAAAAGCGCACACAGTCACCTCCAGAGTTGTATAAAAGTGCACGCAGTCACCTCTATCAGAGTTGTATAAAAGTGCACGCAGTCACCTCTATCAGAGTTGTATAAAAGTGCACATAGTCACCTCTATCAGAGTTGTATAAAGAGTAGCCATCATTTTGCGTTTTTGAAAGTTAAAATTTTGTATATTGTAAGATTCTAACAAAATGTTTGGATAGATAAGTATTGTATTTGTATATTGTAAGGTTCTTAATTATTTAACTATTGTAGTATGATTCAATTGTACATTTTTCACCAATGCTTAATATAACTCTGATATTCAAGCTTTGGATGTATAAATATTCAAACTTTTGAGTATAAATAATCTGTATTAATCTAGAAATTTTGAATACCCTTAGGCTTTTTTTGATGCATATATTCTCAACACTTGAAAAATCTACCAGGTAAATTAAGAATTTAAGAAATTGCCATTGAAAGTCATGTTAAATTGAAATGGATAGGAATATATTCTCTTTTATGAAGATGAATTAATCCAAATAATAATTTTACAGTCCGGACAAGATTCCTGGAGCAGATGGAGCAGGTCTGCTGGTTTTGTACCACCTGCTAACCATCTGTCATGCTCTACACGAGCGCCATCTCCCACTGGGTGACGTGAAACTCAGTCACCTGTGGGTGGACAACTGCTACAACCTCACCCTGTCACCCACTGCCCCACTGTCCGCTCTTCTCCCACCAAGCTATGGGAGACCAAAGCTTACCATACCAAAAATAAATGCTACAAATAAGGAGAAAAAATTACCAAAAAACTTGAATTTATCCCAAAAATCTACGTTTCCGAATAATTCTTCGCTGGAAAAAATTCCCTGCGTGGGGATGAATTCTTGCAAAGGTAGAAAATCTTCTGAAGTGGAGGAGTTTGATGAGGGAAATGCACTGCATCAAGAGGGAAGAAATGATAATTCAGAAATTATACAAGCTGAGGGTCAGGGCATGGCAGTAATTGGGGTTGAGGCTAAAACACAGCCTGATGTTCTCAACCCAACTACAACCCCAGTGCCTGGGACCAAATATAGTTCAAGTCATGGGTTGAAACCTTCAGATTCTTCAAGTGATACTCTGAGTTGTGAGAGCGGAGGATATTTGGAGCATGGAGAGGGACCGGAGTCAGGAGAAGGTCCCCAAGAGGAGTCAAGGGGACATTATAACTCCATTCTGGAGGCCCAAGGGGAAGATGGGGGAGAGGGGAACGAGCCCCGCGTTGTGGCCTTCCTCAGGCTGGTTAAAGACCCGACTGCTTGCCAGCTCCTGCAACAGGTATTCTTATTACTATAATTATTTCTTAATAATATTTATTATTAAAAAATGAAATAAATTAAAATAAATTATTAAAATAATAATATAACTCAGTACTCACTGCAGTGTGTGACAGAGCGCGCATTTTCTCGTCGATGAAAACGTGAAGTCACGGACGG